AGTTGGATCTAGGTCCCAAATACCAAATTAAACTAGCTTGGATCTAATTTAGATGTCTTAAGCTTAAACTCTAATTATGATGTGGTTTAATGAAGTTCTAAGACCTATAAAAGTTAGCCTAAACCTAATTTTACATGGGTTGAGCGCAAGCCAATCAAACTTGAGATCAAGCTATCCAAAATGACTCAAGGTGCCCAATTGTATCAACCCATGGGAAACTAGACATAAACCCAATGTTTGGGTGGATCTAATGAGTATATTAACCTACCCACTTAGCTTAATTTGAGTGGTTATGCCCAAGTCAAATCATATTGACCCAATACATCCCAAACCTTATGGCAATTAAAATGATTCTTATCCATAGCTAATTGGACATCCCTTAAGCTTCATTAGGTGACTTAATTATCCAACTGATCAACTAGTTTAAGTCTAGATCAATTAGACCCAAGCACAAGCCAAACTGACCATATTTGTCCTCAAACAATTCCATCTTCCAAATTCCTCCAAATGGCCCTCCATTAGATTAATTAGATCTGGTTCGAACAAATTGAGCATGCATATGTTTCGCCTTCACCCCTATGTTCCATCATGATCATCCTTGTGACCTTTATCACATGACCATGACTCACCTAACTTAAATTGTGAGCATCTTCCATTTTTCAAGTCACTTTCAACACTCCCTCTCTACCCCACTTCTCGACCACTTAGCATGTCCTCAAACATTTCCTTATAGCACCTTGAGGGTTGGAATCCCCCAATTGCCATTGTGTTAACCAAAATAAACTAAACTCAAAAGGGGAGAGCACATTCTATGTAATATCCCATATTTTTAATTCAATCAAATAATTTTTTTTTAGGATTCGTTCTAAGTCCAAATCACAAATCGTTTTAGCTATAACATATATATTGTAGTAATTTAACCACGTTATTTTTTTTCATAATTTTTTGGCATTAGTACAAATCCTTAATAAATTGACACATATTGGTACAAGTTAGAGTTTTGGGACCATTAGGTATTTATTTTGTAAATTGATTTTACCATGATCTCAACAATTTAATGTATTTGTATTTTTCGATCAAATTTATATTTTTGTTACTGAAAAATAAGTATAATTTTGTATTGGTAAAACTTTTAGCATGTACATTTTAAATATTAATTTTAGATTTTTTTGTCTGGTAATAAAGATTCAAAATGTTGTTATATACGATCTATAGTAATTTTGTTACTTTTTAAAAATGTGAATTTCTACTGAGTAGGTTTTTTGTTTCCCATCATTAGGACATTTTAACACTTTGAATTAAGCCAAATTATAATTTATTTACTGCAATGCATTAAAAATAAATGTGTGAATGTAATTATCTTATTGTTATTACTATTATAATGCTATGATAATAATATGTGTGGGGGAATAATAAGTAAAGATTGGTTATTCACTAACATTGGCTAGAGACTGATTGACTTTGTATAGGATGATGGGCCGATAGACATTTCCTTAAATATGTGATTTTGTATTATCCTCGAGTGATTCACTTGATGTACTGATTGAGAGTTATAAAGTGATGATTATTGTGCCGATGGACAAAGAGTGGTGATTTTGTTTATTAAGCCAACTGTTTACTGATAGTGATATGATACTAAAAAAATACTGTTTAAACCAAAACTTCTTATTTGTTTAGTGTGCTACTAAAATACATATTATTAAGGCATTATTTCTATCATAGTATGAATTTATTATTACTATACATATTTATTATTACTGTATTATTTTACTGCTCCTACCTGATGGACAATTATTAATATATACACTAATATTATTTGATAATACTGATTCACTGTACTAATACTAAACATGTGATATATATATGTATTTGCCTATGACCTACTAATTCCGCCGGAAAATATACCGGCAGACTAATTCCGCCGGAAGTCCGTATAATTCCGGCGGCTTATTTTTTGTTGGTATAATTTTTTCGACGCGCCCGAGTGGGGCGGACTGGCTGGTCTGGGCGCGCGTATGGCGTATGGGACCTGCCGGTCGGTTTGGCCTTTAATTTTTTTTTTTAATTTCCGGCGCAAAATAGTTCGCCGGAAAATATACCGGCGGACTAATTCCGTCGGAAGTAATTCTGGCGGCTTATTTTTCGTCGGTATAATTTTTTCGACGCGCCCGTAACCGGCGAAAAAAAAAAATCCGATGGAAATCCGCCTGAAATACTAATTTCCGACGTATTTTGACCCTTTTCCGATGAATTTTGTTTGCCGGTAACACGCGATTTTCCTGTAGTGATGATTTTGACGGGCTTTACCGATATTTTTATTTTATCGCTTTATATGATTGATTTACTAGTTGATAGTACTGATATGATGACTATATTATTGATTTGTCGCATGTACTAATTTATTAATTTCACCATTGTATTATCTTATCATCTTTCGTACCGTACTATTTTACTGTTTTATAGACTTTTATGCTACTACATATGAGTATTACTATTTCTGTACTGATTCAATGATTGTATAAATGATAATATGAATGCTACTATTATGAATTCATAGCTAGCATGCATAATACTCATTTGTTGTGCATTGAGTTCAGTTGTAGGATTTGATTACTTGCTGGGCTCTTGAGTTCATTATATATAGTTAAATGATTCCAGATTAGAGCAAAAGAGCAGGAGCGTGTTAACCATGATCCTTCAAGTTTAGATTCTTGTTATTTTAGTTATTCTTTTGTACTCATGACAGAGTAATTATGATCTAATTGTATAGATCTTGAGTAGTGTATATAATTTTTGGGAAACGAATACAAATAAATATATTGATGTTTAATCGATAAATTAGATAGTTATGATTGTTGTATTGATAAAAGAAATTAGATTGCTATATGATTATTATTTATTAAAAGATAAAAGAATAATTCTTCAAAATTAGATACTGAGGCGTCATATTTTAGTAGTGAGATAGAGTCACATTTACCCTTCTTGGTTTCCCGATACTCCTAAAAACACTTTCTTATAATCACCCTCATTTGTTGTGCTCTCTATCAACAAAGAGTCATTCTAGTAGTGAGATAGAGTCACATTTGTCCCTCTTGACTTCCCAATACTCCTAAAAGCAGTACTTCTTTATAATCACCCTCATTTGTCGTGCTCTCTATCAAAAAAGAGGGTGAGCTCCAACGTAAGTGGTGGTCCTAAGGTCTCGGGGACAACCTCTATATGTTTGCGTGTGTGTGTAATGGTGGTGGAGGAAGATGGGCTCCAAAGACTTCATCAACAAGCTTTGTCTCCACCATAAGAAGTTATGTCAATCAAGTTTCCACCAAACGTGCACTCGTAATGTATTTATTGTAAAACACTAGCCCAATCCTTTCTAATTTCATTATTTATGAAGCATAACAAGATCAATAGAATAAAACCTAGGGTTACATAGTGCTTGATCTCTTGATTGATATCAAATCCTAATATCCCCTCTTCTCTCTCTAAACGTCGATGATTAACACTTCTTGCACGTAGAACACCTGTTGGAGGAAGGTGACGATATCTCTACTAATGGATAAATAGACCCTATATGATATCCCCACTCAACATGATATACACAATCACATTCATTAACTTATTAAGTTTAATATATTTTATTAACACTTCTTTATCTTACATCAAATGAATATTATCATTTTTCATGGACAATGGAGCTAACATGCTTAAAGCATCAACTAATCACCTTATGCGATGCATCAAATCAAATTAAAATTTTTGAATAAGATGCATAACTTCTAACAAGTGACACATCTTCAAGATGACCATCCAAACTAAGAAAACCTTTGATAAAACCTCTTTTCTAACATGAGTAGCCTATTTGGAATGCCTAATCAATAACATCATATCAATCGACTTCGCCAACAGCTACCTGCTAATTAATTCTAGCTCACCTATATCCATGGAAAGCATTGCCTAGACTACATACAACACATCATCAATTAACAACTTAAGGTTTCATTTGAGATGACTTTCTTACTGCTTCTTCAAGCAATTTTTTAGTAGAAAATTTTTAATTTATGTACTAGAAAGCTGCTTTAAGAAGCAGTAAGAAAGCCGTCCTAAATGAAACCTTAGTAAATTTATCATCGCCCATTAACATAATGAGTGAAAATGAATTTAATTTCTGTACTCAAAATAGATAACCCTCTTTGGCATGTTGCTTGTGATTCTCACGCTTTTTCTTCGAACATATAAATCAGTAAGTAAAATAAAAAACAAATTGCGTGGGGTATTATAATATGTCTATGTTAAGAGAGGTAGAATAAACCTAAAAAAAAATATTATAAATGATTTTTTTAAATTAGATTTAAATGAGAATTTGACTCGTAACAAGACACAATGGAGAAAAATGATTCATGTAGCCGACCCAATGTAGTGGGATAAAAGCATGTTGTTGTTGTTGTGGGGTAATATAAGCATCCCTACCTATTTGATTTTATAGATAGTAAGTTTAAATACAAGATCGTTATGTTTAATATCGTGTAAAGGTAACCTCTTCTTGATGTCTGGGTTTTATACTTATATCTCTGCATATCAAGTGATGAGCAAGCATATGAAATAAACGTGAACTTAGAAGAAACTCCACTAACATTTCAATGTAGAATTTCAGACTTTTTTCCCCAACTTTTCAACAATACTTTTGATTTATAAGAGAAATGTCTTTGAAAAATGCTTGTTCTGTATGTTCATTTCCCATTTCATTATGAGAAAATAAACTAATTTATGTGACAACTCTTAATTCTACGTGAGGGAAACAAAACATAAGCTAAGAATGTCTTGATTTGCTCACACCTTCAGAATATTATACATAAAACCATCCTGAATGTATATAGAATGAAAGATGGCAAATAACATAAATATTTACTAATATGTTCAAAAAATTATACACAAGAAATCAAAGCTAGAATTTACTTACAACATAAATTTAAAAAAATCTGCAAATATTTGTGTTGTTACAGATATAATGACACTTTTTTTATCTATCTTATCAACAGGAGCTCAAATCTAACCTTGAATTAATACGAGAAAAAAATGGAAAAAATAAAAATTTGTACCCAAGCTCACTAATCTAAAATCAAGCTCGCACTCGGTAATTGAAACTAGAATCCTTGTGAACATCCTTACAGAGAATCGATCTAACCTCTAATATTGATCTTGGAGGTTCCAAGTCATTCTCCTGCAATGTGTTGTTTCCAAGCAACTTCTGCATCTGTGATGCAAAAGTTTCATCAAGAACCTGCATCATTCAAATCATAATTTAGTTTCCAAGAAAATAAAATAGTTATCAAAATCATATTTTTGTAATATCAAAGGTTTGTCTAGATTTTGCTTACAGCTACAGTGGCCCTTGAAGCTTTACACAGAGACCTGTTCTCTTTATGATTCTCCAAGAACTTCAGAACATCTTGTCCCAATCTGTCCCAAAGGCATCGACACACAGAAACAAAAACATTTACCTCGAGGACTTTATCAAGGTGATTTATGGTCTCCGTTAGGTGATCTTTCAGGGGTTGCATTCTCTTACGAACATCACTTTCAGCCACAATGCCTTTGGATCCTCGAAGAATTTTCTTAAGATTTGTGGCACTCTGTGCGTGAGTCTAATAACAACAAGTGGATCTACTACTAGTTAGAGAGTTGTGATAATGTTGTTTCTATAGTATTTTTGACATTTAAACAAAAAGAGAAATATAAAGAAAAAAAAAAAAATCAAATAGATTGGAACAAAAAGAAGGGAATGCTTCAATAGGCTTAACTAATAATAATCAATTTACATTTAAACTTAAAGTCATTTTAGTCAATAGTTCTCCGTGGGATGAGGAGCTGTTAGGTAGGCCGATCTACTAAGGTTTCGTTTGGGACGGCTATTTTGTTGCTTCTTAAAGCAACTTTTTAATTAATTGTACTAGAAAGCTGCTTTAAGAAACGGTAAGAAAGTCGTCCCAAACGAAGCCTAAGTTTAAAAAATTTGCTTCATATTTTCAAACCATCTAAATTTAATTTTCACCGTCTTATTTTTAATAGCCGCCAGTTCTATCATCCTTCCAATCTAATAAACATCAACTCTATCTTGTTAGTTTTATAACAAACCCTTAATATTTTTCCATCATTGATAGTTTGTCACACATTAAACTTTGCCCCATCAATCACTTTTTAATTGCTCAATATTGGGATACATAACATTATCTAAGGAGATAAGAAATGTGCTTATAAAAAACAACAGATCAATGGGAGGTTATTCTCATTTACGGTTTATGTTCTTGGCTGCAAATAGTGCAGTATAAATCTTAAGAAATAACATTTAGGTGATTGGTTTAGAAATAACATTCATTTTAAACCAACTTTTTTAGGCTATTTCCTTCACTAAAACCCTGTGAATCAAATGCAAAAAACTTAACTTTGCTGGATTTTAGCTTACTCTATAAGTGTTTCCCTTCACACCAATAGGCATTTTAGAGATATAACTAGTCAATCAAATCATATAACGGTAAAGTGACAGTTTGTATGTACTCACATTCTCTGCAAGTTTTTCCACAACTGCTTGGAGGTAGTTTCTAAACTTGGATCTCACAATTACAGCAATTTCGCTCAGGCGTTCTCCAGCTATCGCACTCCCAGCATCAGGTATGCAAGAACCCCAAGACTTCAACTGCATTTCTAATCTGGGCCTCAATACATCAAGTACTCTTTTCATGGTATTCAGGAGAATTCCAAGCTGTAAGAGTCAAAAGGGGTTAAGTTAACAGAAAGCAATAAAGTAAAAAAGGATAGAATGGATAAGTATGATATGCTTAACTCACCTCTTCAGGAATGTTATAAGGGCAGACCTTTTTACCTTTAGCAAGTTTCTGCACAAACTTGAGGCCTAAGGATTTAGGTGCCATGCTATCCTTCAATGGATTTAGAACATCTGCATACTGTTTTTGCAAAGTCTCAATCATCGCCTTCTCGACATCCGCAATTGCCTTTTAATTTGAAAAAAAAAACAGTTATGAAAATTAACTCATTATCTAAAAAGCAGAAAAAAGAAAGATAGATATAGAGACTTTTGGCATCACAAATCCAACCATACATTTTCTAGAACAAGTATATATTCGGGCCAACGACGCATGATGATTTCATATTCATTCAAGGTCTCCTTTAGGCGATCATAAACTTCATCAATGAAGGGAGTTGTCAAATGCTGAGTTCGAACTCCAGACCATTTCACCTACTCAATGATTAGTAGCCAATTTAGAAAAATATAGAAGAAAGGTTCCCATTTTTTAAATCAGATATTCTACGTTGAAAAAGAAGTTTCCAACGTTACCTTATCTAGTTTGCAGGATTCAAGCAATGCAAGACGCTTATCTTGAATCCCCAAAATAATATATAAGTGAAACAACTCTTTGGCATCGACACCTCCCTTCACAGGACTGCAAAGACAGTAGAATTGTTAGTTTTCTTAGGCTTCGTTTGGGACGGCTTTCTTACTGCTTCTTAAAGCAGCTTTCTAGTAAAAAAATATTAATTTTTGTACTAAAAAGCTGCTTTAAGAAGCAGTAAGAAAGCCGTCCCAAATGAACCCTTAATCATGAAAAACACAACTGTTTCATGCACTGATGCACCAACTAAATTTACCTAATGTTCCAGCTAGCAAGATCCTTCTGAAAATCAGCAGTTGCAATAACAAGATCTGCCACAGGCGGTGAAAGGCCTGTAGGTGGACAAGCTTTAAGAAACGAACGCAATCTTGTACAAAGCTCCACACTGTAGATTGATGCTGATATGTTTGGAAGGTCTATGAAACTGTTTTCCAAGCCAAATCAGATAAAAAAAATGTGGTGAGAGAAATGTGGAGCATGGAGGTAACTGGTGAAAATATGCTTAAGTGTTATAAAACCTCAATTTCACATATTGACAAGAAACCCTTTAGAGTTTAAAATTCCTTTTCACCTAAAATGTGTAGAAGAAATTCCAAATATTCGTTGCCAGGTAAACATTTAACTACTTTATATATTAATGATTTATAATTGTAAAGGAACAAGTTTGTATCGTAAACTTATCTGAACAAGTCCGTTGTCTCTTTCTTAATAGTCATAAAAGATTAATAATATTCATAACAACTCATCTGAACAAGTCCATTGTCTCTTTCCCCTACGCTCCCTAATGGAGAAAGGGGAATGCAAGCAAAGTTTATCCTGGTTGCAATGCCCTTCCGTGCTTCTCCAATTCCCATTTCTAGCTCACAAATATTTATTGATTGCGAACCAGCTATGAAGCCTATAAAAAATGTTGCCCACACCTTAATAACTACCCTTAAAAAAGATTCATCTTTTCATGGAGCCTTAACAACCATAGAGTTTTACTCAGCAGATCCAAATGGAGAAAGGACTTCATTCTCAAAACTTGTTTTAAAGAGAAGGCACTAATTACCCTTCTTACAGTGGTCTTAGCATGAAAAAATGGAACAATTTAAAGAATAATATCCTGAGAGATTATAAATCATTGAACTAGAATCATCCTGTTACCTGGGAAGAATATGATGGTTGTGTATTTCAATATCAGCATTAATTTCTTTGACTATGTTATAGCACAAAGTTTTCATCTTTTGGTAACCGGTAGAGATGCTAACAACATCCACTAAAGTTCCTTCAGTGCTGTTGGCCAAAATCTCATCCGTATCCAGCATGAGCCTCCTTGATCTCTTCTTCACAGCAATCTGAGCATTCAATAGCATATCAATGGCATTTCTACATGAAATAATTTTTACAGAAGCAATAAGGTGCTGCACATTGATGAAATTCTATACCTGAAAATAGCTGCACAGCTTTAATTGAGCTTCAGGAGATAGTATATCGTGAATAAGAGTGTATAGCTTTACAGCTGATGCCAGTGCTGGTGGTGGATTTCCATTTGGAGGCCCGAAGACTTCAGCCATTCCAGACATTGAGGACTCATCCAATGACTTGTAATTCTCAAAAACCAAAGATAGGACCTGGTCAATTTGCTCCCTCATCTCTCCAAGAATGCGATTCTGAAGAAGTATCATATCAGTAATTGTTTTTCAAATAATCATTCTCGATGAAAATGATAAAAGATGAACCAAGAAGAAAATAGCTCATTATCAGTTTATTTTACTTTCCATGTGAACAATATAAGATTCATGACCTGCATGACCATGTGCTGAACTTGCAGTTATGGTTGCAAGTTGAATCATGAATGAGTTTCGCCTGAAAATGATCGTTCAATGAGCTGATTTCTTGGGGTTCTGAACATTTAAGTTTGAATGTGTAATCTGAACCATCTGGTTATTGGCATGAGCTAAGGATCCCCATCTGACTACTAATTGTTCTAGGATGTGTGATGCGGAGCATTTTAATTATAGTATTCCTTAGGAATAGTATATCTACTTTTATTTCTAGAAAGTTCTCATCCTAGCTTATATATAGAATATTGTAGTAGGAAACATTATCAATGAAATATTACTCTTTTTGAAGCTTTTGAAGCTTAGTGTTTGTGTGTTTGTTCCTTGAATTAGAAAACCTTTCAAGCAGGTCCGATGCTTCCGACGATCCACCACATCAATGTGCCTCAGTGCTTCAAGTAGCTGACGAGTCGGGCAACTCATTGCTACCAACTGCACCCAACAGGCATGACGAAGTGGTGCAGTAGTACCGTAGCTTGCAGGAGAAGATGTCCCTGCTAGGTTGAGCTAGACCTGATTTATTCAAATCTACTTGTTCACTATGTCAGTAAGTCGCAGAGCTGAATCCAATCTGATTTGGCCAAGGGTATTATAGCATGCAAGAATGTAACAATACCATTGCAACCTTAAATGAACCCAATTTAACACGATTTAAAATAATTATTGATTGGTTTTTTTTCTTAAGCTTATTATACAAGGATTTGATGAACACGGGCTCTCAATTATAAGAAATTCTCACTGCGATCGGAAGAACAGCAGCAGCTACCACGTTTTGTTATCAACATAATACTTCTAAAGTATTAAGATCAGCACAAGCTCTAGGTTTGTTAGCTTGGATCCAAAAGGGTAGTGTTAAAATCCAAGATGTACCTTGACACTTGATCCCACGGTCAGGATGGGATCTCCTTTCATATTTGGGTGGCTGATTTACGAAGGATTATATTAGGGAAATTATGCATGATTTTGTTATTATTTGTTTCTTTATTAAGATATTCTGTGTAGATCTATAAATACAAATAATTTAGTATAATAAAATTAAAATCTTTTTCTATCTCCAATTCTTTGAATTTAACAGGTAGCGCACATGATAAAAAAGAAGCTCTTATACAATAATCTTTGAATTTGTAGGCAGCTTTCTTACAGAAAAGAATGCAGGTAGAAAACAATAATTTGTTGGCCGCTTTTCTTAGCAAAAAACTAGAAAGAAAACAACAACCAAACGAAGTCGGAATATTGTAAAAAAAAAAATCCTGCGTTCCACTCAACAACAAACATTAGACATACATAAAACTGTATTTGAACCTGTACTAGAAAACGTTAGGCTTCGTTGGATTTCTATTTTGCCGTATGCTTTTGTAGTAGAAAAAAGCTAACTTTAAAAAGCAAAAGATATTTGGATGAAAAAAATAAGGGGGATTTACATACATATCACTTTATTTCATGCTATTTATAAATCTAACACCTAAAAATTTAATATTACATTCTTACCACTCATATAAACTTTTAATATCAAATATATCACTCATATATTTCATTCTTATCACCCATACCACCCTATAAACTTTAATATTTCATTCCATGCACCCATATTTGTCCTATGAGCAAATATGCCAAGTTGATCGGCAATTCACATAAATTAAGTAAAAATTATATCAAATATAAAGATGGATAGGGTTGGGAGTACCTCTTGATGACTTAATCTATTCATGCTGTTGCTCTTCGTTATTACAGGTAGAATCAAATCATGAATGAGCATTAGGCAATCTAATGTAGGGGTTGCCACATCCATCACATAGGAGAGATATCTGACAATTGTTGGAAAATAAGATTATTAGAAGTTATTGGAATAGTAAAATGTTGTTGAATTGATTATTAACTTAGTGAAATATTCCGTAACTTGCTAAAATATGCTATATCACGTTAAAAAAAAATGCACAACGTCCTATTACGATAAGGCAAGTGATCAAAATCATAGCAAATACTGCAAGGAATGTCATCTAATTACCTTAATTTTGTGTAGGCATCTGAAACACCAAAATAAGCTGCAAATTCTGCCAGCAACCATTTCCAAATTCCATGCAGCATCAAATTTCTCTGCTGGAAATGTTGAGCTTTCATTGCAACTTCCATTACAACATCATATGCTACTGTCTCTGCAATTGATCCACACTGCATGTGGAATGTTAGTTCCCTTTATCACAAGGATCAAAATAAAAATAAAATAAAATAAAGATGTTATTTGACATGATAAATAATAAGTTGTTAATACAAAGAGCCTAGAAAAGATGATTGAGGGGTGGTTGTCGGGGGAATGAAATATGATTTCCGCCCAACTATTTAAAGAAATTATACAAAAAAAAAAAAAATGTTAACTCCATGTTGGAAGCAACATAAAATATTCTTTAATAACCCCCCCCTAATAACCTCCAATAAGTTGAAGCATCCAATTCATGGTATGCTAAAGGAAATTACAAATTGGTGAAATTCATTATATTTTTGATAAAAAAAATATTGAATCTTCAGCCTAGTGAAATAATTTATAGAAATCGAGAAAGAGTAAACCACCTTTAGAGTTATAAACTAGAAACCATAAGCAAACATTCATATGGTAGCAAGGAGGCATTTTGGGACACAAGAAAAAAATGTTCTATTATAGACAAGATGTCAATATCAACCCAGAAGTTTTGGTACCTTTTCATTATTCTCATCTGAATTTGATGTGTAGCTCAAGTGTACTTGCATTCGACCCACTAGTACATGTTCAGGTTCAAGATAAATAGGCCACCAGCAACTCTTTTCGCTCTACAAAAAAGAAAAAAGAAAAATCATGTCCTTCGATGATTTCTTACCATCTTAACACAAGCAAAGGATATGGGGACCCTTACAATATCAGAAATACTAGCCACTTGAACTACAACTCTTCCGCATGACTTCCCCTTCGAGTCATACACTTCAACATATAAATCATCTCCAATATTATCAGGGAAGCTGTCAACCCAAATAAATAACACAAAATTAAATGGTCCAAAGCAAAGGAATGTAAGACATAGAAACAGAAAATCATGCCAGGAAAGATATCATAAACATTATCAGTTGAAAATAGCATACATGTATGTGCTTCCCTGATCCAGGATCCATTCGGACTGCTTCCTCGTAAGTTGTACTTTTTAATCTATCAAAACGGCAAGTGTATGCTCTCATAAAAATATAATCAAATCTAGTTAGGTGGCTGCATGGCTTTGCCTAAGAGGCATCTCCAATTAAAAATCCCATTTCAACTTCCAAGAATACAGTGAAATTAAAAAATGTCGTGATTCATCTCCAATTGAACTCCCATTTTGCATCCTCTCTGCTAAGGCCTTCCCACTAATGCCAATATTGGGTGTTATTGTTCACCCGCAAAACCCAATAACCGAAGTTTTGCCGTTCAGCTGGATGCTCGCGATAGCTGATGCCATTCATGCCTTTGGAGTTCGATGGAGAAGCGCTTAGTACAGGCGGTTATTACCTTGAGCTCATTCATATGATGAACGGCTTTGCCGTGCGGGTAACACCAACTTTAAAGAGATCTCTGAAGGCTTTTCTTTGGCTGCTGAGTACTGGCATTATGCAAGCTAGACTGTTTCTTGAGAGGAAGCTACTTAGCAAGGGTAGACATATGTACAAAACCCGACATTACGAAACGATTTCCAATTACTGCAGCAAGAAAAGGTATGCGACTGATATAAACAAATGAAGTAGATTGTATGTTCACCATAGGATAAATTTAGAGCTGAAATACTGCATCTTGAATGGCATGCTGGAGACATTCTGACTTTATGGACTGCAGGAAAGAATTATATTTTTACATAGGATTTGCAAGGAGCACAATAAAATAAAATTTTAAAAGGAAGAAAATGCGAAATTGTTTTTTATTTTTAATGAGAAAGCGCAAAATGATTTAAAATGATTTAAGGTTTTCTAAGAAAACCCAAAATGATTTTTACATTTTGCATTCTTTTAGAAAAGTGCAGAATCTTTTTAAGTTTTCCAGAAAAAACTGAAATGCTTTTTTCAGTTTTTATCCAAGCATATTTGTTTTTATAAATATTTCCGTTTTATTATTTTAAAGTAATTTTTTATTAAAAAAAATTATTTTTTTTATTATAATATTATTAAAAATTATAATTTCAAACATATATATTAAAAATAATGAATAAAAATTTTAAACAATAAATTATTTTAATCAAGTGAATTAATTTAAAATTTATTTTTTTCAATTTAAAGTTAAATAATATTTAATCAATTTATTAATAATTAATTTTTAACGTCTAAAGAACATTATTTTCAATAACCGATAACATAAATATTTATTAAATTAAAATTTCCTATTTTAGTTAAAAATGCAAAAAGCATTTTAAGTTTTTCTTGGAAACATAAAATGGATTTGCTTTTTGAAGAAAAACACAAAACTAATCTTTGAGTTTCTTTGAAACTTAAATCATTTAGGGGTTTCCTAGAAAATGCAAAATTGTTTTAGGTTTTCTTAAAAACCTTCAATTCATTTTGCATTTTCTTATAAATAAAAAATGAATTTGTGTTTTTTTTTTTCTTTTCAAAATTTATCTTAATTAGTTCCACTGTTAATGTAGTCTTTTATATACCTCCTTTTTAAAAAATTTTGCCTAAAGTTAATCTATCAGATAATTGGGATTAAAATGGCCCTATGCCACAAATAATCCCATGGACATTTAACCTTTTTCTCCATACCATGATCACTAGAAAATTATCATAAATGAATGCAAGAACAACCACATATAGCATTAAAAAAAAGAAAGGAAACTCAAAGTTAGGCAACAAGTAACCTTGAATCCTTAATTTTTCCTATGACTTTTTTGGGCTTTGATATGATTCCCTTCGCTAGATAAAGACCAGAAAGATGGCTGTCCGAAGAAGCTCCTCCTCTGACTGTAATAAGAATTTTGCTGCATCTAAGAAAAGTCGAGGAAATTGAATACTAATTGAGAATTAGTATTTTCCATAAGTTGACTTGCAGGAACTTGCAATATAACGAAGAAATATAAATACTCACATAAGCATTAAAGATTAACAAGAACTGTAATTTTAGAGGTGAATCTGTAAAACAATTAATAGAGATCCTACTCACAAGGATTCTCGTGTAAAATGAGAATTGCCTTCTCCCTTTCAATCCAAACATTGAAGTTTTGCATTTTTATGAATATTTTCCCTTAACACTCGAAATACTTTTTGTGGTAATTCACTTCAATTTCCAGTAAAAAAATTATAAAGGTAGAATATGCTGCATATTTATCAGTTTAGACCAGCTTGAAAACTAAAGTTGTAGAAGTAGAAAATCTTAAGCTGCAATTTCAAAGCAAAATAAGAAGTTTACATAATTTCTATAATAAGAACCCAATTTACAATTTATCGCAATCATGATAAAATCTAGAAAGATCAGATCTTACCCGATGCTTTTCGCAGAAGAGCACAATTCATTTCCAAAAAAAGAAGGTGCTTTCCATGCAACCCTCTTGCCCAGGATATGAAGGCATAGTCGAACACATGCATCATATGCCAGTACACAATGCCAGGGGCCTTGTCCCACTTGAAGTAAATTTAGTACAAACAACATCACACCCAACATCAGCCTATATCCCACTATTTGGGGTCAGCTACATACTTTTTTATGAATATTTTAAGGAATCCTAGTAATCTACTCCTCCGTGATACTAATTAAAAATAATTATATTTTTGTTCCAAAATCAGTAGTAAATTTAGTAAACAAATAATTATTTAGTTAGTATCGATGAGGAGTACGGTTAACAAGATTTCCATAAAATTACCAGAAAAAGTATCGAATTTTCCGTAAAATGAATATAAACATCTCATGTAAGTAGTAACCTAGCATGAACTGAGGAAGTCGATTGGTAAAGAACCCCAAACTTTCCAGTTTTTTTGTTAGACCGCTTGAAGAAGCTCCTTCAAAACCAGAAAAATTTATAAGTATTATAGTTGAATTACATGAATATAAGAACACTTCAACAGTGATGACCAAATAACATTATCACTAAACTATGAATGGTTTGTCAGGGAACTGTTTTTCATAATGGGCAAATTCGAAATGTAACTCTCTTGGATTAACAAACTACCAAACTTTGTGATGATTGGAGGACATGAATGTTCTTTTAAGGATGGCCATGACCCCCTCAGCTTGGTCAAATGTCCTTTCCAATAACCCAATCACATTGGTGGTGGCCACCTTGGATGTTGGAGTGTTTTTCCTATACTATACATAAATAATATAAAATGAATAATTCCATAATAACACACAAAAAAAAATATTTAGATTTGAAAATGAGAATAAAGAGGCAAATCACCCA